GTAGTATGGCCCGTCGTACCTACGTTCGTTGATGACGTACGTGACTTTTGGTGCCTTTCCTTGCAGGACGTCGTTGAACACTGGGGATTGGGCAAGGACGTTAAGATCATTTTGAGCCCCCAGAACCCCAAAAAAGGCGTGCCATATCCATGTATCAAAAGATGCCACTGCTTCCAAAATGATAAATTTTGCTCCTTTTCTATCCCCATATGCGCATTGCCATGCACTTAGACAGTTTTTCCACGTCCAGTGCATACAATCGATGCTTCCTATCATCCCAAGAAAACCTCGCATCTCGCCCTTCTTCAGAAGCCTTTGCAAGTCCATGCGAGTAGGTTTTCGAAGGTACTTTGCAATGTACAAAGATTCGACTGCTCCGCAAAACCTCATCAGGGCCTCAAGAATGGTTGATTTCCCCATCCTCGTTATCTCATCCACTTGGTCTGCAGATGCTCCATACGCAAGCATCCGCAATGCAACAGTGATTTTTTGCTGAGGCAGGAGACCCATAACACCACAAGCATCCTTCTTTTGCACAAAGTAAGAATCATGGTTGCAAACATCAGTCATGATTCTGTTGAACAAATGTCGTTCCATTCTAAAACGGCGTCTGAAGTACGTATCAGGAAATGCACTGTTATGGACAAAGTAATCGTCCAACAGCTCTTCACCCCGTCGTTGCCTGCTTCTATCAAGGTTTCTTGAACGGTTGGGCCTGCATATCTGAGCAACAGTCTGGATGACTCGACGGGAATGTAAGGCTCTAGCCATTCTTGTTCGTCATCTCTCCTTCTACGCTCCTCATCCTCTTTCATCTCATTTTCGACTATCTGAAGGTTGAACATTCCTTCAGATTGGTTAAACAATTCTTCCTCTTACTGATTGATTTCCCACATCATCCTTGATGAAGAAGAAGACATTGTAAGGATGGATGGTGAAGAAGAAGCATAAACTATGAATAATGAGATAGAGATGTTGAGAAAATTGGTGTGAGATTTGTGAGGATGGATGGTGGATTATATGGACGATTCAGAAAGGATCGGATTGTAGACGAGGTCACGTGGCATGCCGTTATTCGTTAAAAATCTGATCGAAATCTATCATCAAAGATTCTGAAAAAATAATGACACGTGGCACGATTGTATTGGATAAAAATCTTATCGAAATCAATCTCCAATAATTATCTTTTCAGATAATGACATGCGGCGCAATTTTAAACGAGTTAAAATTTGATCGAAATCTATCGTCAAAGATTCTCAAAAGATAATGACACGTGGCACGATGACATTGGATAAAAATCTTATCGAACTCCATCGCTAAATATTTTATTTTTTTTTATAAAATAACACGTGGCGCAACGAGAACGATTTAAAAAATCTTATCCGAAATTACAAATAATTTTATTTTGTATTATTTAAACAAACAAAAAAAACTAATATTTTATTGCCTATTGCCAGGAGAAGGGCTCCAAGGGTGGAGATGCAAATAACAATTACTGTTCATTAATAGCAGTTACTATTCATTAAAGGTAGTTACTGTTCAATATGGTGGATTCAATAGTGGATTGCCAGGGGGAGAGCTCCATGAGTGGAGTTGCTCTTAGGGGGAGTTGTCTCACGCCCTTAGGTACACCTACCCCCTGCCTCGGTATTGTAAAACCTTTAATAGCTTGTAGAAGCATTCCTTAATTGTAATTTATAGGATACATAAAATTACCAAAGCTACCTTGTTGTAACAATTGAATATTGAGATCAATGAAATTTTGTTAATGGTGGGTTTGTTTATTTTCTTTTTTTTTTTCAAATTTAAATAAGAGTAAAATAGGAAGTTCAACGTCAATTCAAAAAAAGTGAGGTGTATTCATAAGATTGTCTGGTGTAAATAAAACAATTTTTTTTTTAATAAAAATAATATATGACAAAAATAACCCTAAAATAATAGCCTGGATGTTCTTATGTAATAGAAATGGTTCCTAGGATGAACTTGTTATTAATTAAAACTGGTACTTACCTCATCATCAAGTGAATAGGTATACCATTGTTGGGCTTCTTTGGTTGCCGATTCCAACTTCTCATGATCATCGTCTCTCATTGGTTCCTCTACCAACTGCTATATATATATTAATTAAGGTTTTTAATATCATGCGCTTAATTAATCAGGTACTAGTTGATCACCAATAAAATACAAACTGACCAAACATTTTTAATAATAATATTGCACTAATTGAAGACATTATTAAAAAATGAAAAGGCGATACTTTTGGAAATCTTCTCTGAGCTCCGTAGTTGTCTTTGTCAACAGTTGTCGCCTACTTTGATATACATACATATATACATACATACATACATACATATATATATATATATATATATATATATATATAAGCTAGAATTTGTACTGGTGCGTTGCTACGGGATTGAAAACTATACGAAAGGTTATGCAATTTCAATTTTCATAAACAATGTTTGAGTCAAAAACTCAGTTACTAATGCCAATGCAAATTATACACAACCTCATCATGAATGAAACAAATTTAAATATCAAAAGAGAAACCTATTTCATCTATTAAAAATATTACGAAGTTCTTTGGATACGAAAAAACACAAATTGCTTCCTATCCAAAAACATTAATGGGAAATGTTGTTTACTGCAACACTAAAAGTTGTCCTCTGTTATGTTGGTTATTAAGGAAGCATCCCAGGCAAGGGAAAAAAATTTGAAGTAAATTTATAGACAGTAGAATTATATCATGAACAAAATAAGGATAAAGCGTGTTTACCTAGTGTTTTTGTGTGCAGAAAGAAGTCTGATTTTGCACGAAATGGAGATGACCTTCTCTGGCAATTCTATAGGATGTGATCAAACTTTTTTGCGTTTTCAACTTGCCTTGCAACCAAGTTTCTACAAAAACAGATCGAATCAAGAAAGCAATTAGACCAAGGCATAAGAGATTATAAGAACAAGTACATAAAATATAAACTAAATATACCACTTATTATACTACTTTGTATTCCAAATACACCTAAAAATATATCGATTTCTAGTGAATAGTTCGGTTCCAATTAATTCCACTTTAGTTTCTTTCAAACCCTTCAACTTATCCTTGACTTTTTTTTCTTTAACAGCATCATAATTAAGAGTTAGCTTCCATCAAATCCTTCAACCAATCCCACCCATACCTGTCTAACCCTTCATAATCCCAATTTTACTCTCTTATACCCTTTAACCTAACCTTGACTTTGTTTTTACAGCTCTTTCATTTAAAAGCTTATTTTCTCTACAAAATCATAATAGTTTCTGTCTTACATCACATTTTAAACTCTTGCTAACATTAATTTCCATCTCAAATCAAAATGAACCTCCAACGTTAGAAATATGAGTTAAAAAATGTTTAGTAAAAGAATTTGCCAATTCTAATTAAGAACTGTTAATCAAACTGTAAAAGCAACATATGAGTTTTTCCAACTTCAAACATAGAACCAACAGCGATAATCCAATTGGAAATGGAATAGACCAAACAGACCATGAAGATTATACAATTAGAAGATGATATATTTGAAGGAGAAGAGTTCATTACATAGTGTGGTGACAGCCGATCAGCAGCACAAACTGAGAAGAGCGAAGAACTTGGCCTCAGATTTTCTCCACAATAATTGAAAAAATAAATAAACTTAACATGTAGGAATGATGCTGTTATTTTCTCTAGACAATAAACATCATCTCTTAAAATATTAAAAATAATGTATGTGCATTTCATTCATATTTCTATTCACATCGTAAACGTAAACCTCAAAACACAACTCATGGAACAACTTTTCTTACTAAACCCTAGAACACATTTTAAAATTTTTAAAATAGTTCTCATTTTTTGTTTTCTTTGCTAAATTTATTCATGCGTTTCTTAAATTTAAATTCAGTTTATAAAAATTTTCACATCAATCTTTAGAAAGTAATTTTTTATGTAACTATTTAAAATATGCTGTATAAAACATACTTATCGCTTCCACTTAAGAATACTGATAACACAAAATGAATTAAACTGGAAAGTTAAAGTAAGTTCTCTTACCAAATAACCGAAGCCAAACTGACACACCATTAGCAACGTTTCTTTACTGATTCAAACATAAACATGAATCAATTAAAAGCATTAAAAAATGAAATAACACTTCAATTCTTTGCTCAATTCAGTTTAGAAATTTTCACATCAATCTTTAGAAAGTAATTTTTTATGTAATTATTTAAAATATGCCATATAAAACATACTTATTGCTTCCACTTAAGAAAACTGATAGCACAAAATGAATTAAACCTCGAAGTAGTTCTCCTAATGAACTTTCAAAACAACGATACAGTACAGAAGAGAAGATTGACAAAATGAAAGTACAAAACCATATGTCTGCTGAACTGGTTCCCAAATTAAGGCTTAGTTTTATGTTGCATGTAGACTTCTCCTATTGTTCTTTGTACATTGGGATATACATATGTACATAATAATTATACACACACATATACTTATAGCAGGGAAGAAACTAACACAATAATATAGCACCTGCTAGGAAAATGAGAGATGTATGTATTTTACTAAGAGAATATGATGAAAGAGGATTTTTTTATCGATCAGTGATATTCTGCTGATTCCGTAGAATTAGAACGTCGGAAATGAATCCGAGTAAGGAAATATAGTAGTAGCAAATCCTGCAGGGGGTGTTTGTGAAAAAACACATTTGTGAAAAAAAAAAACAGGGAAGAAGAAATCAAAACTAAAACCAGAACATCCAGAACAATCAAAACAAAAACCCTCAAGAAAAACCCACACAAAAATGAAGAAAGTAAGAGAACCCAGAGCAAGATTAGAATTTGGAAGAAACCTTATTTGAGAAAAGCCCACAAAGATGAGGAAAAGTAGCATCAAGATTAAAAGCAGAGCAATCGGAACAAAACCCATACGAGAAATAACCACAAAGATGAAGAAAAAAAGAATCTTGGGGTTTGGGATATACCTGAATGAAGCAGTCATGGAAAATGAGGCGCAGCAGCTGAGCAGAGACATTCTTCTGGTGGGAGTAAATCTGCGCCATCGTCGACCTCACAATGGTCTCAATTTCTGGGCAAGTCTCGCGGTAGAAATCGTATTCAAGATCCGATTGACCTCCATCATCATCTCCTCCATGAAGAAATCTTGGCCGCCATCGGAAGAAGCCAGAGAAACCAGATTGACCAGTGGTTCTTGAGCGAAGGAGGAGGCGGAGAGAAGCAGGGAAACACGAAGGATTGACGCAGGGAGAAAAGCACAGAAACAGAGAGGAAGAGAAAGGAAAACCGACGGAAGAAAATGGAAGAGCCTTCGAGCACCTTTCCACAAAACTGAAATGAATGTAATTGGATACCAGACTCGTTCTAGTTTGAGGTGTTTCCAAAGGAAAATTGTAAAAAAGAAGCAGGGGTGAAAATGGAAGAACACTGTTAATGAACGGTATTTTTTGTGTTGAGTTTTTAGTATCTATTAGAAATTTGTATCCAAACGATGCTACGTGAATGAAAATCCTATAAAATATTTTATAGCTTCAATTTTCATAAATAATGTTTGAGTAAAAAATAGAGAATTACGAAAGGCAATGCAATTTATACGTAACCTTATCATGAACGGCACAAATTTTGATACCAAAAGAAAAATTAAAAATCTATTTTTCCAAAGTGTGAAGAGATAATTCTTTATTCAAAAAGTTGGTCCAATAATAATTGCATAAATTACAAATGCAGTATTGAGAGTATACCAGTCAAACTAAGCTTGTTACAGGCTAAACAATGTTGAAAAACATCATTAGCTTTTTCAAGTTTTATATGCAATGAATGTAATTGGATACCAGACTCGTTCTAGTTTGAGGTGTTTCCAAAGGAAAATTCTTCTACTCTCTTGGAGAGTTGGGAATACAACTGCAACAGATAATAAAGACAGTTAGCCAATGATTAAAAAAAACATATGCATAGAAAGTTCAAAATTGAGTTTTGGGAGAGAGAGTGGAGAGAGAGGTGAAGTCACCTTATAACCGGAGATTTAAAATGGAGAGTGGTAATTCAACTTGTGAAATTCTGAAAGCAAACATTTAAATAAAGTTAATCAAAATTTAGTACGAAATGTTAATTAGAAATGTGTTAAAATGGAAGTAAAAAGGATTGAAACTTGCCTAACGTTGCGTGTACAATTTTACCATCTGTTTGTGGAAAATATACTGATGTGACATGCCATATGTTGATCTTGCCTTCTTGGAAGTAATATTAGTCGTTGATTGCCAGGTAGCATAAATATGTACAATATTTTCTAAATTATGAGACAAATTATTATGCCAAAGTTGTGTGCTAAAAAATACTTTATACTTCTATATTGATGAAAGTTATGATTTTAATTTGTATATACCTTGGTGGAGTCATTTTGTGTATGAGTTTCTTATATTCATCATCCATGCTATGTGAAAAACTTATTCCAAGTTCTGCATAAAGTCACAAAGAAATGAAATATAAAATTGGAACGAAGATTCAATTATGCAAATTTACACTTCTAAACACATAATATTCAAATAAAGAAAATTTGAATAAAAAGGCACTAACATTCCAACGCTGATTGTTTGGATGAAATGAAATTCTCAGAAATTCGTGGCAAATCCTCGATGACATACTCCTAAAAGATGAAAACATATAATTTTAAACAGAAAAAAAAGGGTACAAAAACTACCTCAACAAATCGATTGAGGTGGATGATCTCAACATTTTCTCTTCCCTTTATCCTCATACTCTTTACCCACGTTCATGCATGTACAATGCTCAAACACAACCCAAATTAATTTAAAGGAAATATGCACAACCCAAGAGAAATTAATTAATTCAAATAATTATTCACTTCCTCACAACCCAAATTAATTCAAACGAAATTTGCACAACCCAAAGTAAGAGATCAAACGAAATATGCACAAGCCAAATGAAGAGATCAAACTCTACCCATTATTCCTAATGCCAACTTTCTTTTTGGCACTGATAGGAGCATATTTATACGACTTAGTTAGCTTGTTTTCTTGCATTTTCATAATTAGTTTGTGCTCATTTTAGTGTTTTAAGCTATTTTCGTGTGTTTGTAGGTCCAAATGACAAAGTTGGCAAGAAAGTGCAATTTGGAGCATTTTGAAGCAGTTTTGGGCATCAAATGGAAAGCACATGGATGGAGCAAGATGGATGGACGAATTTGAAGACCAAAGATGTCAAGGAATGTGCTAAAGAGTTGAAGAAATAAATCCAAGACAAAGAAGATAAGGAATCAGCTAAAATAAAGGAATATTATCCAAAATATTGTCCAACTTTATCTTATCCAAACTAACATTATCTTATCTTATCATATCCTACCTTAATTCCAGCTGCAAGGGGGACTCCTTATCACATTAGAATACCTAATATCTGATTCTAGAAGCCCTGAAACAATGCCAATAACTTGATCCTTTTCCCCCTAGAAATCTGATGAATTTAATCCCTTTCTAGAAGCTTTGTGCTGAATGTCCTAGTCCTATTCCTCTAGGATTGTGTAATCCTTCTCCTCCACTACTTTGCGCAAAACTCTAGCCTATAAATACATATTTTCTGCCACAATTCAAACCACCACCCTCTACCATATTTTTCTACACCATTCACCACAAATTCGTGCCATACATCCCTCTAGTGCCGCAACTGTGCAAGGAAGGAGAAGAAGGAGCCACCTAGAGTTGTGCTTGTCATTCAAGACATTGGATTGTTGGAGCGTTTCTAGGTGTATTCTATCTTTGTTTTCAATGTTTAAATTTAATTGTCCTTGTTTAATTGCGAACATGATGAACTAATTTTTTTTTATAGTTGGAGGTGAATTCGAAGCCATGATTATATGTTTTATATGAATTGATTACATCCAATTATTATTTCTTGAGTCTTGAATGTGATTTGCTTATCTGAGTTATTAAAACTTGTTTATGTATGTTGATTGAGGATGCATACTTAGTTTGCATGCATGAACTTGATGCTAGAATATAAGGGAGTTTCACCTAATCGTTATGAACTTATATTCACAAGTAGTGGAAGTCACTAGTCATGATTATGTTAAGTAAATCCTTGGCATGAGTATCATGCTTTTCATAGTTACGAATGCCTCGTCAATGCTTATTATTTTCAAAGAACTTAATGACTTTTGATATGTTTTCTATCGAGCTTTTCGTAGTTAGGGGACTTGAGAAGGATAATTTGGTTGTGATGCGTATCCCGTCCAATTCAATGAAATAAGGAAAATCTGATGGTTAATTTGTGCTATCATGGTTAACTTGGGGTGTTGTCATTCATGGTTTAAAGGAACTGGAAATTGGTTTGTATGCATATATCATGTGTGAAGAAGGACCCTCTAACTAGCCTTTCACCATTTTCAATTCATCAAATTCGTTTTCTTAAAGTGTTTTATGCAAAGATTTTGTTTTAAGTTTTAAATTCATCAAAAGCAATCTCCGTTTCATTAAGTTTTGTTAGTTGAGTCATAATCTGTTTTCTTTTAATCTTTTGAGTCAAGTTGAGTCTTATTTTCGTCAAAATCACTTGTTAGGTTTAGAATTGAGTCTTTTTTATTGTTTGCTGCTGTTTTGAGTGTTTTGAGTCAGTTTTGAGTCATAAGAGTTTAGTTTTCTGTTTTAGAGTCTAGTTTAGTGTTTTTGAGTCTTATTTGTGTCGATTAGCATCCCTAGTTAATCCTCAGTCTAGAACGATCCCTACTTACATCTTTGCTACAATTGTCAACAATAGGGTTTAATTTGTGTGTCAAGTTAATTTTCACATCAGGCACCCTATCCATTCTGTCAGCAACCGATACAAAAACAAATAAGTCCATAAAACATAAATAAACCCAAGAAGTATATGTACACAACACACCAATCAGTGAACTTTATTTAAATAGACCAAAATGAGTAATAAGTCATTGAACCCTCACTTCACCATTCTAAGCTTTTCCATATCTCTCTATGTATATATGAGGATAGACATTCAACCCTCACTTCTTTCTTTTTTGAGAGTTCTACATACTAATTAGAGGAAACCAAGGAATTCGAAGCTTTTCCATACCTAGGCTTACATTTTGAAGGAATTTAATGTGTTCTTGGAAATTGGTAAAAGTGAATGTGGAGTAATAGGGGAAGAGTCCATTGTCACATTCCAGCCCGGGCCCCTACCACATTATTTAAATAGACCAAAATGAGTAATAAGTCATTGAACCCTCACTTCACCATTCTAAGCTTTTCCATATCTCTCTATGTATATATGAGGGTAGACATTCAACCCTCACTTCTTTCTTTTTTGAGAGTTCTGCATACTAATTAGAGGAAACCAATGAATTCGAAGCTTTTCCATACCTAGGCTTACATTTTGAAGGAATTTAATGTGTTCTTGGAAATTGATAAAAGTGAATGTGGAGTAATAGGGGAAGAGTCCATTGTCACATTCCAGCCCGGACCCCTACCACATCTCGGGCTCAACTCTGCCGTAGCACGATATTGTTTACTTTGAGCCTCGACCATGCCCTCATGGCTTTGTTTCTAGGAACTCATACTAGAATTTCCCAGTGGGTCACCCATCATGGATTGTTCTCGCGTGAACTCGCTTATCTTCGGAGTTCCGATGGAACCCGAAGCCAGTGAGTTCCCAAAAGCCCTCGTGCTAGGTAGAGATGAGAATATACATATAAGGCTTACAGGATCCACTCCCCTGGGTGATGTGGGATCTAACAATCCACCCCCTTTAGGGGCCCGACGTCCTCGTCGGCACACATCCGGCCAGGAATTGGTTTTGATACCAAATTGTCAAATCCCGGCCCGGGCCCCTACCACATCTCAGACTCGACTCTGCCGTAACACGATATTATCCGCTTTGGACCCCGACCATGCCCTCACGGTTTTGTTTCTGGGAACTCACACAAGAACTTCCTAATGGGTCATCCATCATGGGATTGCTCTCGTGTGAACTCGCTTAACTTCGGAGTTTCAATGGAACCCGAAACTAGTGAGTTGCCAAAAGGCCTCATGTTATGTAGGGATGAGAATATACATATAACGCTTACATGATCCAGTCCCCTGGACGATGTGGGATCTAACACCATTATCTCTCAAGCTCTTCCCTTTGAATTGCTGTAAAAGAAACTCTCACATCCACCATTCCCCCTATTTCAATTCAAAAAAATTAAATTAAAAATTTTAAGAAGAAACTCAACCGAAAATCACTAAATAGTTCTATAAATTTGGAATCTTTGTTATTTTCATGAAATAAAAAAGGTGGAAACTTTATCGGAGGAAATGAAAGCCAAGTTGTGATGAGAGCAAGGCAGATGGTGTTGCAAATGCTATGGAGGGACATAATCAAAACCGATAGGATTGAATAAATGAGTCGGAAAACTCAAGATGTCATCAACCTGTTCGTTGCCGACTTGCATCCACACAAAAACCATACCAAAAAATCGCCAATTAGATTTGATAGCATAACACAATGTCATGATGCAAAATTAACTGTAATCACGAAATTAGCCACCTGAAATCTGCTAGACAACTCACCAGGAAACCCAACTTTTTCTGTGTTTAAATTTTCTTCGAATCGAAACGGATTCATCTAAAACACAACCTCCAGGGCAAAGACTATAATCGACCTACAACAGTTCGCTTAACATTGAATAAGGATAGTAAGGTTGTAAACACTATATACATCTATAATAGAGACACAACATGAACATTCACGATATTTACTTGTAAAATCTAGTAAGCAGAAGGAACTCAGTACACTTCAGCAATGGATAAGGATACTTCCTCATTTTGTCGGATTACTTTGAAACTTTGTTAGGATATATTCATTATCTCGTTATTTTCATGATGAAGATAGTATTTTCACTAAATCTATTGTATTTTTATCCAATATAGTCCCAAGTTTGAATTAATCCCCGAATAATACTTGACAGTAAATAACAGGGGAACACTGAGAAATAAGAAATAAGAAATAAGAATTCGACTATCATACATGATTAAATCACAAAATGAGTCAAATATTCTCAAAATCATTCTAAACGTGACATTGAAATCAAACTGACCAAAGTCTAAATAGAATTGAGCATAGCATCTCTTCTTGTTCTTGATCACTGTTGTTCCCAATGTGGTCCATTCTGGCTTCCCAGAATTATCGTCCGAAAAGGGTTTCACCAGCAATTGGTGAATTGAACTTTCGTCCCTTCCACTAATTTAGTACGCAAAGAAAATATTGGAAGGGAAACAAAATCCAACAAATATAAAAGGGGTCAGTGAAACAATACAAATATTCATAAAAATTAAAATTAAAATTTTCTGCAAGGGGCATCCCAGAATTTAAATTCACACTAAACCCATTTCCTAGTTCTCTTAGTTGAAGCGAACCCAGAAAAAAAAAATGAAAAAAAAAAAATTATCGGCATACAAACACCTCAAAGCCCAAGAAAAAAAAAAAAGAAATACCTTTGCGGGTCTGGAGCTCTTCGCTTATTGGTGTTATAGTATTGGTGCTGCGTCTTTTCCAGACGGTCAATTCATCGTTGTTTCCATCAGTAACAATAGGAGGTGAAGCTGCTGGTTTGGGTGAAAAAGAGGAGGAGGAGGAAGGGGGGTTTGAAGAGGGCACTGATCTTTGATTGCATTGCAATGCGTCAGATTGATTTGAATTGATTTGAGTTCATTGCCCTTCCATCATTCTTTGGTTCAGAGAAAACATAATGAAGGGAAAAAGTGGAGAAGAGAAGAAACATTGTCGAAAAGTGAGAACAAACACAGATAACACATAGAAGAAAAAACCAAGGAGAGAACTCGAGCTAGGTTCGTGTTTTTAGGCGAGAAAGCTAGTGGTTTCTAGAAGCAAATGGAAACGGACTGGACTTTTGCCATCCCCACGATTACCAACACATGTACATCAACGACACGTGTACATCAACAGTAGTGGCAGAGAGTCAGTGAGGTAGCGTTTGGTACGCAGACGGGATGGGACGGGACGGGACGGAACGGAACGGGACAGGATGGGACGAAGGTTCCGTGTATGTTTGGTACGCGCTGGACGGAACATGTTGGTTGTTCCGTTTTGCGTTTGGTACGTGTTGGACGGAACGCAAATGACTGCGAAACCCGTCGGTTCGAAATCCGTCGGCGAGATTCTATTCGAAACCCGTCGATTTGAAACCCAACGACGTGTGAATTTGGACAACTTGGCGTTGTGAATCTGGGTGAAATCCCGGGCTGCCGGATCGGACATCGTGGTGTTGTAAATCTGGGTGAAATCTCGGGCTGCCGGATCGGACAGCGTGGCGTAGGCGTTGTGAATCTGGATGAAATCCGGTCGTCGGACTCCGACTGCGACGCGTCTAGGTGGTATTGCTTGGCCATAATCTGGATGAAATCCGGTCGTCGGACTCCGACCGCGACGCATCTGGGTGGTATTGCTTGGCTAAGCTCTGGTACGCCGACTTGATCTTCATTGGCGACGCGTTGGCCGTGACTCGGAGGACCTCGTACAGACTCGTCGTGGAGGCCGCTGCTTGGCCTCGGTGAACGCCTGGGCGGAAGAGGCCTTGATCTGGAAATTAAGTGTCGGATGGAAGTGAGAAGGAAGAAGGAGGAGACGAAGAGGCTGAGATCCGAGGAAAGAGATAATGGGAGAGGGAACGAATTTTGTGTTCCACGGGATGGAAAAACCTGTTCCAGGGGGGGAGCGCGGAACCAAAATTTAGCCCATTTCTGTCCCGCGGGACAGCCGTTCCACATAATTTTAGCGCGCCAAACATGGGACGGAACGCGTCCGTCCCACCCTGTTCCGTCCTATCCCACGTACCAAACGCACCTTGAAAGCACCAAAGAGGCAGAAATGAAATAAAAACAAATCAAGTGGGGGCAAATCGTTCACACACACTGTTAATGAACAGTATGCCCTCTCACATGATGAACAGTGCTTTTCTGCTGGCTTTTAGAATATGGATATAGATAATATAAATATAAATGTTATGTGATTAATGCATGAGTTGCACAATTAGCTAGGTTGATATGCATTCATATATACACCATCACTGAGGTATGAGAATGTGAAACATTCTTTGGCACTGCAGGTCTCATGTTGACTGGACGGGACGGAGCGACAACAAATACACAGTACAAACTAATATATGGGTACAAATTAAAAATGAAAAAAAAAATTGGTACAAACTAAAAATAAAAATATATGATAAAAAATTTAGCCATAAATATAAATATATTAATTGTAACATTTTTAACACTAAAAGAATATATTTAAAAATAAAAATATTTTATTATTCAAATAATTAATGATGATATTAATATCCAAGGACCTTGATCAAAAATTGAAAATGAATAGGATTTTAATCAATGAAGTAGCAAAAAGAAGGATGTCCACCTATGGACCAGTCAACATGCGACCTGCAGTGACAACAAATACACAGTACCCTTTTGTTCCTAATCTCGTCCCTAATTGTTTGGTATGTAGATGGGACGGGACAGAGCGGAATGGGACGGGATGGGACAGGACGGGGCGGAACGTAGAGGGAGCAAAGATGCCCTCAGATGGAAACAAGGAGGAAGAATAAGGAGATGGAGATGTTATAATTTTGTGTTCCACGGATGTGGAACGAGTCGTTCTAGGGGGATGAGGCGGAACGAAAATTCACCCAAAATTCGTTCCGTGAAACAGCGCGTTCCATCCGTTTTAGGCGCACCAAACGTGGGACGGAACGCCTCGTCCCACGTACCAAACGGTATAGAAGAATCTATTGAGCAATGACAGAAACTACAAAGTGATTTTGAAATTTCTAGTACATAATAATAGCAATATCTAGTTCGGAGCTCTGGTGCAACAGTTGGAAGTACAGATAAGGTAAGTTTCTTGGTAGTGTATCTTGCAGCACAGAGATGCTTGCATCATAGATAACTTCTTATTAAGCACACGAGCAACACCACTGAGCATTTAAGAACCAATTTCATGACCTTTTCGTGTTACTAAAAATTAGCTTTACTGATTATGTTGAATCAAGCTTTAGATGAAAGAGAAAGAAGGGGAAGGTGATAGGGTTTAGTGGAAGAGTTGCGGAATGCAGGATCATAATTGTAGATCATACTGAAGTCGTTGTTGCTGATGATACAGATTAAGGATTCCAGGCCCTCGCCTGGATGAATACTACTTTTGAATTAGTATTGTTTCTACCTTTGCAATACTGCTTTATACAGATGTGAACAAATGCAAAAAAGGATATGATATTACTTTGGCTGCTAATTGATTAGTTTCAAATGCAAGAAAGGATTAGTTTCTAATGTTATATTTTTATGGTTCAAAAAGTGTAGATGTCGTAGTTGATCACTCGTCGTCGGAGTGTGATCAATGTGCCCCCTGCATTTTCAGCACCTACTACTTCAGCAGTGAGTGCTCCATTGATTAGGGAGCCTACACCCCTTACTGAGGCTACTCCTAGGGCGTCCCAGGTGCCCGCATCATCGACGTCATCAGTGTCAGTTCAGCCACTCAATGCACGCCGACCTTACCGACGCCGCCGTGATCCAGAGCCTTATGATCACACTTCCTTGACATCCACAATCGAGGGTGGGGGCTCACAGCTAGGTACTTTATTCTAATTCTCACTATGTTGTATTTTTTTTTCATTTTAAAACTATTATTTTTATGATTGTGAAAATTTGCCGGATTGTGAAAATGTGTTGCGGGTGTGAATTATTGTTATTTTACTGTTTTTCAGGTTTTGGGAAATGATATACTATTAGGGCCCGTTTGTTTGGCCTCATTAAATGAGACTGGACTGGACTGGATTACAGTTCCATGTTTGATAGGTGCTGGGACTAAGTTAAGTGGGACTAAAGGGGACTCGCACGGACTATCTTTTTCACTAGGAGCTCTTAGCCAATCCCCCCAAAAACCATGGGATTGCTAAGACCATGCTGCGTCCCGTTCTCTCTCTGCGTCGCGTCCTCTCTCCTCTCATATGCTCGCTTGCTGTTGCCTACACTCGCGAACTCTCCTCTCCCTGCTTGCTTCATCTGCTCTCTTCGCCGTTGCCTGCCTACATTCTCGAACTCTCCTCTCCCTGCTTGCTTCGTCTGCTCACTTCGCCGTTGCCTACATCGCGAACCCATGATCTTTTCGTCTGGGTTTCGTGATTCAAATATGGGATTTGCACTTCCAGTGAAGTTGGGTTTTGTGATTCAAATGAATTTAGGATTGAATTTGGGTTTTGTGATTTGAATATGGGTTTTTTCAATTCCAGCGAATATGGGTTTTTTGATTTGAGCGAATTTGTGAAGATGTGCAAAATATTGAGATGAAGCTGTGGTTGCAGAGGCTCCACATGGGGATTATCAGAAGAACCTAATCGAGCAGACGATGATTCTGGGTTGTGAGGATAACATTTCAAGAAAAAATGGAGAAAAGGGAGGACTTTGTCGGACACAGAAAGTGTTCTGGAAAATGGTAAAGGAAAAAGAAAAAAGAAAAAAAAGAAAAATATTATTTTACTTGTTAGTCCGACACTGGAACAAACGCTTCACTAAATTAATCCAGCTTAGTCTAGTCTAAGCCAGTCTAACTTAGTCCATGAGCTTAGTCCAGTCCGAGATAGTCCAGTACAACAAACGCCCCCTTAGGGGAGTTTTTTGCCAAATTTTTTGTAGAAATTTTAGCTTAGGGTTTTTGACACACCCTGATTGAGATCAAGGCATGCTGGCCATCACGTGAGAGTGATGTAGCCATGTGCACAGTGCGGAAGCAATAAAGATAAGAATTATATGAATAATTAAGAACCAAATTACTAGAGTGCACTACTAAACAGAAGGTGATAGGAGTTAGTTACAACAGTAAACACTCATAATCAGAGCATAATAAGTCTAGGTGCAGTCCATTAGGACAAGTACTAGTTACACAGTACCAAGAATGTCCTACTATTAATCAAATAGGTCAAAACAGCCGACAATCCCGAGCCACCAACAGTAAGCTTACTTAGAACCTGGAGGGGTGCAAAACAGAAAACGTGAGTGGACGAAAACAAATGTTTTACAAAATCATTTTCTTTATCAACATAACTAACCCCTCGCTGTAAAACAAGTATAATTTTTCCCAGAATTAGAATATAAGCATATGCATAATACACGCACACACACACACACACACACACACACACACACACACACACACACACACACACACACACACACACACACACATATATATTAATTCATATCAATTCAATTCATGCTTCACATAATCATATTCATATGTATGCCATGCCAAAATATAACCAAGGAAACAATCCAGGTAAGAATGATTTCGTAGAAATATGATATGTTAGCCGAAACCCCTAAGGTGGTCTGTACGGCTGAATTCATGGCTCAAAAGTCAATCTAGCTGGAGTCACTACAATGACCTATACGGCAATATATTGCACATAAGTCGGAACCACTACGAAGGGTCTGTACGAAAAGATTGGGTGAAATATAATTATGCTCAATACTACTCTCACATAATAGCCGAGCGATAAATCGTTAGTCACCTACGAGTCGGAACCATAAATAAGGTATGTATGACAAGACTGTGCACCTAAATTGGATCCAATGTGAGCATATGGTGCGGGAGGTGACATAATAAACAGGCCTGTACTTCATATCT